GGATTTTCTTCTAATCCTTTATGATGTTGTAAAACACACAGTGAAAAATAAAACTAGAGTTCAGCTAATTGATTCTGAAGTCATGGTACAGTGGTTAAGGTGATTGACTTGAACCTATGTATGCACAGGTTCAAATCCTGCTGACTACAGTTGAGGTCTGAGGGCAGATAGGATGAGAGTTTTCATCCTTCCTATTGGTTGAAGACCAATCACAGGAGGTTTAGAGGGGAGGGTCAACAAAAAAATATTTGGGTGCCACTGCTACCTCACAGCACCAAGGACCCAGGTTCAATTCCAGCCTCAGGTGACTGTGTGGAGATTGCATGTTCTCGCCATGTCTGTGTGGGTTCTGAGTGCTCCAGTTTCCTCCTGCAGTCCAAAGATACTCATGTTAGATAGATTGGCTGTGCTAAACTGTCCAGGGATGCGTAGGTTAGGTAGATCAGCCATGGAAAATGGGGAGTTACAGGGATAGGATGGGGGTCTGGGCTTGGGTGGAAAGCCCTTTGTGGTTTGGTGCAGACTCAATGGGCCAAATGGTTTCTTTCAGCACTGTAGGGATTCTATGAAAGAATTCAATTTTCTGGCAAACTAAGGGATATTGTGAATTCATAAATCTGGTTAATTTCCATAACTTTTATTCTTATGCCTAGCACTTAATCATGTGTATTTATGTATAATTAAGAACCTCATGAATAACATTCCCTCTTTAAGATCACACATTTCCTCTCATTATTACTCCTCTTCTGAATGGAGCATGTGATGCTGGATTATAGTTCCTGGGATTTAAAATTAATTTCAAGTGATATTGCAAGCAGGCAGGCAGAAACACACACAAACAAACAGAGCAAGTCATTCAGACAGCATTAAAAAACAGATTATCTGGCCATTATCACGTTGCTGCTTGTGATAGCTTACTAAATGCAGGTTGGATGCTCCATTCACACAACAGAATTTCAACAACTATCAATGTAGTCATTGATACAGTAGAAGACAACAATACAATCAGATCTTATTAATTTTCACACCTAAACTGTGTTGGTCAGTGCATTGAGTCTCGGAGTTGGGATGCCATGTTATGCTGCACAGGACGTTGGTTAGGCCATTTTTAGAATACTGTGTTCACTTCTGGTTTCCCTGCTATAGGAAAGATGGTGTTAAACTTGAAAGGGTTCAGACAAGATTTACAAAGAGTTTCTGGGGTTGGAGGGTTTGAGCTATAGGGAGAGGCTGAATAGGTTGCGGTTATTTTCCCTGGAGTGTCAAAAGCTGAGGGAGACCTTATAGAGGTTGGTAAAATCATAGATAAGGTGAAAAGCCATGGTCTTTTTCCCAGGACAGGGGAGTCCAAAACTAGAAGGCATAGGTTTAAGGTGAGAGGGGAAAGATTTGAAAGGGACCTAAGGGGCAACTTTTTCACACAGAGGATGGTATGTATATGGAATGAGCTGCCAGAAGAAGTGGTGGAGGCTGGTATAATTACAACATTCAGAAGGCATCTGATGGGTATAGTAATTGGAAGGGTTTAGAGAGATATGGGCCAAATGCTGGCAAATGGGACTAGATTAATTTAGGATATCTGGTCGGCATGGACGAGTTGGACTGAAGGGTGTTTCTGTGCTGTACATCTCTATGACTCTATAAAAGGTCCAAGGACAATAGAATTGTCAGTTTCTGAGCAGATCTGCCGGGCTAACAAGGCATTTACTGAAACAAATTCTTTGTTTATTCTTCACCCACTCCATTCAGATTCTTTTTTTCATTTAGAAATGCTTATTGAGGAGAAAACTGTTTTGTTTCTTTTGAAAAATAGTTCTTTAGTCATTTATTTAATGTTGTGTACATACAGTTCATTTTTACAATCACATTTCTTAGAAATCTGCCTTAAATGTTCATATAGTGTATCATTCTATCACTTAACCTAATAGTCCACAAGGCCTGTTCTTTCCTGCTGGAAAGGTTAACTTCACATCTGTACATGTCGAGTTGTATGCCTGCAATGCTAGGATAGCATTTTTTTTTAAAAAGAGAACTGTTTAAGTGAATAAGTGCCCTGGAGGGCACATTTTCTTCATAGTTGACACTGTTTCATTTAAGATACTGGGGTGGGTCAACCAAAGAACTTTCCACTATGGATCTGGATTTGAATTCAGCCCAGTTCAATGAGATAAAAATCCTCTGACTTGTCATTTGAAGCTACTTTGAGCACTTTCAACCAACATACTGTTGGGTGTGGATCTCCACTTAAAACAAGCTCAGGGTGGCCAGTGTGGGAAATGAAAAACCCAAGATCAACCTTCTTTATTCCAATGAGCATAACATTTCTTCAAAAAAAAAATCAGGTGGTGATAGCAGTATTGATCCAAATGTTTTATTATGTTACTAGTATGACTTTACAGTCTTAGTAGGGTGGCTTGCTCGGAGCTAATTCTGCCAGTGTTCAATCCAACAATCTTCTATTGAACAACAGCAACAATTTCATACATCTCATACTTGTTTGAGAGACTTTGCAGTGCACACAATGGCTGTTGCATTTGCTTACATCACAGTGACTGTACCTCAAGAGAAGTATGCATTGATATTGTATAGTATGCTTTGATATAGTATTCTGGAATTTACCTATGGGTGTAATTGGAATGTTAGATCCAAAGATGTGTCTGATACGTTCCTTTTCTGCCCTTTCTCGTGAATACACCCAGACACAAATAACTTCAGTTACATGGTCCGAGGAAAGCACCAAACGGACAAAGAATAAGCATGCAAATTTGTAGAAGAATTCAGTTTCAACTCATTTAACCACCACGCAGACACATTGGACACAGCACGTTCAAGAAGCTGCAACTGGGAACACATTTCGATTTCTAAAGTGACATATTTCACTAAAAATCTGACACAAGCTACAAAAGGGGACATGATGACAGATGAAAAATCCTTGGTCAAGTGTTAGGTTTGAAAGAGCTTTTTTAGAGGAGGACAGTTTGAAAGGTTTCAGGTGGGACTTTCAGAGCTTAGGGGCTTAGCAGCAGAAAGCACAGCAATTAATAGAGTTCATGAGAAGTAGATGAGATCAGATATCTTGAGTTGTAGAGTTGGAAAAGATTGCAGACATAGGAAGGGGCAAAGACAAGAAAGGATTTCTAATTGAGCAGGAAAAAGGAGAAGTTAAAATAAAGAACTGCGGATGCCGGAAATTTGAAAAAAAATACAGAAATTGCTGGAGAAACTTAGCAGGTCTGGCTGCATCTGTGGAGAGCAACGGAGTTAATGTTTCTAGTCTAGCGACCCTTCTTCAGAGCGGTTCTGAAGGATCACTGAACGTAAAACGTTAGCTCTGTTTTTGTTAATGGGAGAGGACAATTTCATAATTCGATAGATGATCTTACAGGATGACATCTTGGCACACTATACTTACAATGAAGTGTATTTATATAGCATTTTAACATAGTAACAACATCCCAAGTTTTCACAGGAGCAGTAATAGTTGATGTTTTATGCTAAGGTACAAAAAGATGCCAGGTCATTGGTCAACCGTTTCATCCAAGAGGCACGTTGCCCACATTTATGACCAGAGCCAGCACAATCACTAGTTAAACTAGGTGGTCACTTAGATCAGCAAAATTTTAACTACTTATGTAAACAAACAGACTTTGATAATGGAAATAAGAGTTCTAAACTTACTGAAACAAACACATGCTGAAAAACACATAGGCTTCTATGTATTTACACTGTAGCCTTTCCCAAAATTTCATATCATACTCCTCATTCTGTTTATGCGGTAGTTTTATAAATTTTTACATTTGAGGAAGGGTCACCGGACCCGAAACGTTAACTCTGATTTTTCTTCACAGATGCTGCCAGACCTGTTGAGCTTTTCCAGCAACTTCTGTTTTTGACACAGTTTTACATTACAAGAGGCATATTACACATTATAATGTGCATTCTTCCAGTACATAACGCATGGAAAGTGTAGAATAATGATCAGGTATAATTAGGATGATAATATTCTCCTTCAAATTAAATTTGCAATTATCAATGTAGAAATATTATTCATGCTCAGGCGTAATAATTATTTTGAAAATTACTTGTATGTGTTTGGGAGGGAGGTTTGCTGAGGGCTGAAGGTTCATCTAGGGCACCCAATATTCTTGCAACCAGCCACGTTTAGGTCCTAACATTGACTTATTGAACTTGTGTCCAGATATTGCACAAAGCTGAAAGAAATTTCAAACTATGGATTTTTTTCCAGGTTCCACTGAGGATACATGTGTCTGAAACACAGAAAGCTAGCATGCAATGCAGCAGGTAATAAGGAAGGCAAGTGGAATGTTATCCCTTATTACAAGGGGTTGAAGTATAGGAATTGGGAAGTCTCATTACTGTACAAGGTGCTAATGAGACCATGCCTAAAATACTGTGAACAGTTTTGGGAAAGTTTCATTGGAGGCAGTTTAGAGAAGGTTCACTCAGATGATCCCTGATATGGATGGATTGTCTTATGAGCAAAGGCTAAACAGGTTGGGACTTTTACACTCTGGAGTTTAGAAGAATGAGAGGTGATCTCATTGAAGAATGTAAGATTCTTAAGGGTAAATGCTGAGATGTTTCCCCATAGGGGAGAGTCTAAGACCAGAATAAGGGGGCACCAGTTTAGTACTGAGATAAGGACGAATTTCTTCCCTCAGAGGGTTGAGTGTCTTCCGAATTTCTTACCACAGAGAGCTGTGGGGGCAGAGTCCTTGTGTATTTTTAAGCAGAGGTAGATTCTTGATCAGTAGGGGAATCAAGGGTTACGTGGAAAAGACAGGAAAATGAACTTAAGGAATATAATATCAGTCATGATTCGGCTTGAGGAGCCGAATGGCCTTTTTCTTCTGGCTGTATGTGAATGTAAGTTTCTCTTTCTGCCCAGAGGCCAAGTGATGACTTCTTTTATTAACCTTGTACAATAAGAGGCAACAGAAGCAGGAACACGTGGGAGATTTGCCAATAAAATTACTCACGGTTCATTTGCAAAGTTCTCAATGACTTTCACATAGTTGGTGGGAACCAAGCCCTCGGCGGAACCGGCGGCTTTCCGTGCAAACAGATAGTCCCCTTCATCTCGGATGACTCTCAGTTTCTCGCCCTGTTTCAGCGACAGCTCTTCTGGCGACCTGGCCTGGAAATCGTACAGAGCGGTGTAGACAGGTCCTAGTTTGCGAGGCGCCACTGGGGTTGGGTTTAAGGCGGAGGGTTTGGGGTCCACCAAGGGGCCCGAGATGACAGCGATCTGACGCCGAGCTGGAGGGGAGTTTGCGGCCGGAGGCTCGGGCCAAAGACGGTCCCAGAGCGCCCGCAGACAGGGCAGGCAGCTCCGTAAGGTCTTTTCCATCACTGTCCGTCAGCAGCCTTTCCCGATGCACTTCTCCAGTTCCATAAAATAGCTCTGCATCGTTTTATTGGGGCTGAAAGGGGGTGTGGTTGGGGGAGAAAAGCAGTCAGGAACAAGGGTCCACTCACCCAGAGGTGGTGCTTTTGCCTTGGAGCAGAAGCACATTGAACTTCTGGTTACATTTGCTGGTCTTTTAGGGGGATGGTTTACTTCCTGCAGGTACAATTCAGGTGGAACCAGTTTTCAAATGTCAGCGGCAGGTATGCGGAACCGCTCAAATCACTGCAAATCAGGTTCAACCTCAAACGGTATCCCTTAGTACTGACATTAACTTTCCGCAGTTTTTTTTTCTAAAACGCGTTTTGGGGCAACTATAGTGTAAAGCTCCAAATTCAGGGCCAATGGAAATAGAAATGACTGTGGGTGGGTGCTCTGGGCAGACCGAAACTAAAACAGAAATACAGGACACGAGGGAAGAGCTGAAATTTCTTCTTTTAAAAAAAGACTCAAGCATCTCCCCTCACCGTTGAGATCCGTCTGCTTTTCTTTTCTGCCGGGCTCCAAGAGCCTTTCCCACTTTGCCAATTCTTCAAGCTGTCCTTTCGCTGCGTATCCTCCACATTTTAATCTATTCACGTTGTCTTTTTATGTGCCTGTCATTCTTTGATTTCCTTCACTGTGCTTTATGCTGCTTATGACTTCTGCCAGCTCAGCTTCTCTTTTGATCTGCAATTATAAACAGTCTCCAAGTCATTCATTTCTTTCCTTTGTATATCAACTTCAGCATCCCCAAAACCTCTCCTGCTTGCTCCTTCTTAAATGCTATCTATAATACATAAGTTCTAATGAAAGTTCTCATAGCTGAACATGACTTGGTTACAATACTTGAGTTAATATCATTACCTCCACCTATGATGGTGAGCCTGTGTATTTATCTGTAAATAGCACTCAAAATAAAGCCAGCGGATAGTTTTCAATGACACTCAGCACGCAGATAAGGTATAGCACAAGAAAATGCTGATTTGTGATTGACCTGGATCCTGATCCTGGGTATTTTTGTAAGTTCAATTAACATTGGAAGATGGAGCAAATTTATTCTTACTTTTAAGAATGTTGTGGGTTGTCTCAACTACTGTGGGGAATTTATCCCAGTGTCAAAATATGAGCAGAATTTTCAAAACAGGCTGTTGGATTTTTGAAGAAGTAGCGAAGAGGATTGATGAGGGCAGAGCAGTGGATGTGATCTATATATTGACTTCAGTAAGGCTTTAGACAAGGTTCCTCGTGGTAGACTGGTTAGCAAGGTTGGATCACATGGAATACGGGGAGAACTAGCCATTTGGTTACGAAAATGGCTTGAAGGTAGAAGACAGAGGGTAGTGACTGAGGTTTGTTTTTCAGACTGGAGACCTGTGACCAGTGGTGTGCTACAAGGCTTGGTGCTGGATCCACTGCTTTTTGTCATTTATATGAATGATTTCGATGTGAACATGGGAGATATGGATAGTAAGTTTGCAGATGACCCCAAAATTGGAGGTATAGTGGACAGCCAAAAAGGTTACTTTGAGTACAACGGGATCTTGATCAGATGGGCCAATAGGCTGAGGAGAGGCAGATGGAGTTTAATTTAGATAAATTTGAGGTGCTGCAATTTGGAAAGGTAAATCAGGACAAGACATATATAATTAATGGTAAGGTCCTGGGGACTGTTGCTGAACAGAGAGACCTTAGAGTGCAAGTTCATAGTTCCTTTAAAGTGGAGTCACAGGTAGATAGGATAGTGAAGGCAGCATTTGATATGCTTGCCTTTATTGGTCAGTGCTTTGAATATAGGAGTTGGGAGGTCATGTGGCTGTACAGGACATTGGTTAGGCCACTTTTGGAATACTGTGTGCAATTCTCATCTCCCTGCTATAAAAAGGATGTTGTGAAACTTGAAAAGGTTCAGAAAAGATTTACAAGGATATTGACAGGGTTGGAGGGCTTGAGCTATAGGGAGACGCTGAATAGGCTGGGGCTATTTTCCTTAGATCATCAGAGGCTGAGGGGTAACCTTATAGAGGTTTACAAAATCATGAAGGGCATAGATACGGCGAATAGCCAAGGTGTTTTCCTGGGGTGGGGGAGTCCAAAACTAGAGGACATAGGTTTAAAGTGAGAGGGGAAAGGTTTAAAAGGGACCTAAGGGGCAACTATTTCATGCAGAGGGTGAAATGTGTACGGAACCAGCTGCCTGAGGAAATGGTGGAGGCTGGTACAATTACTTTTAAAAATGGATGGGCATATGAATAGGAAGGGTTTAGCGGGTTATGGGTTAAATGCTGGCAAATGGGACTAGAATAATTTAGGATATCTGTTCAGCATGGACGAGTTGGACCAAAGGGCCTGTTTCTGTGCTGTACAACTCTATGAGGATCAACCTAAAGTCTTCTCAATGAAATGGAGCATTGTCCAAGCAGGGTAAAGCCTTGAAGAAGAGCTGAGCAATTATCACAACACTGAGTTTGCACAGCATGACAGGAGAATGTGTTCCACTGAATGTTGTCTTCACTAGTTCTGAGCAGCAGTCATATCAAACTCAAAACTTTAACTCTGTTTCTGTCTCGACTGATGCTGCCAGACCTGCCGAGTTTCTTCAACACCTTCTGTTTTGATGCCCTCTTCATTTGTTATATTTGTAGTCGACTTATTTCCATAAATGAAATGGATGTTACAGCATGAAAATAAGTCCTTTGGCTCAAACAATCGCTGTTAGAGCAAATAGCACAAATCATATTTATACATCCTGCTCCCTTAAACTATTCTTTCCTTATTTTTGATCCACGTATCCAATCTAATCTTAAATATTCACTTAGTTTCTTACCCAACAGCTAACTCTGGTTGAGAATTCCACAGAATCCACAGTAAGTGGAGGGACATGTAGTATTAAGGATTTGGGGAGCCTGCAGAAGGACTTGGAGAGGCTAAGAGAGTTGGCAAAGAAATGGGAGATGGCATACAATATGGGAAAGTGTCAGATTATGCACTTTGGTAAGAAGAATAGAACATAGACTATTTTCTAAAGAGGGAAAGGCTTCAGAAATCTGAAGCACAAAGGGACTTAAGAGTCCTAGTTCAGAATTCTCTCAGTTCTCTTAACATGTAGGTTCAGTTAGCAGTTAGGAAGGTAAATGCAATGTTAGCATTCATTTTGAGAAAGCCAGAAGAACAGAGATGTACTGCTAAGGCTGTACGAGACTCTGGTCAGACTGCATTTATAATATTGTGTTTTTGCCCTCATGTCTAAGTATGTGCTGGCTGTGGAGAGGGTCCACAGGAGGTTTATAAGACTGATGCCAGGGATGAAGGGCTTGTCATAATGAGGAGCAGTTGAAGACTCTGGGTTTGTACTTGATGAGAGTTTAGAAGGATGAGGGGGGATCTCAGTGAAACTTACAGAATACTGACAAGCCTGGATAGAGTGGACGTGGAGATGATGTTTCCACTAATAGGAGACACTAGGACCTGAGGACAAATCCTCTTAGTGAAGGGACGACCCTTCAGAACTGAAATGAGGAGGAGGATGGCGAATCTACAGAACTCATTATTCAGAAGGCTGTGGAAGCCAAATCACTGAGAGTATTTAAGACCGAGACAGATAATACAGATAATAAATCAGGTAACATATATAGCACAGAGAAATGCCACACAAATGCGTCAAGTGCTTCCACATAAATATCAACAGGAATTTCTATTTTCAGAATTAAATTTAGATTACTATTCCTCAAATACTAATTTAAACAAATCAAGGAAATCCAATAATCCTCTTGAACAAAAACAATGACTTATACCGTCCATTAAATTTGCATTTTATTATTTTTAAAATACACATTATTGCCGAAAGTCTTAGATCTCATGTGTTCCATGATTTTGCCCTCATCACCTCTCTGACCTTAAAAGTTACTGCTTGGTATAAAGTACAATATATTAATTACCTTTTTGTGCAGAATATCATACAAGTTAGCCAGGAAGGAGCTGAATACAAGTTAGCTGGGAAGGAGCTGAAGAAAGGGCTTAAGAGAGCTATAAGGAGGCATGAGAAAACCTTGGCAGATAGGATCAAGGAAAACCCCAAGGCTTTTTACACGTACGTAAGGAATAAGAGAATGACCAGAGAAAGGGTAGGGCCGATCAAGGATTGTAAAGGGAATTTGTGTACGGAGCCTAAAGATATAGGAGAGGTCCTTAATGAATACTTTTCTTCGGTATTCACAACTGAGAGGGACCTAGCTGTAGGAGAGGACAGAGTGAAACAGGCTGGTAGGCTAGAGGAGGTGGATGTTAGTAATGAAGATGTGCTAGGAATTTTGAGGAACTTGAAGATAGATAAGTCCCCTGGGCCTGATGGGATTTATCCAAGGATTCTATGGGAAGCGAGGGAAGAGATCGCAGGGCCTTTGGCAATGATCTTTTCGTCCTCACTGTCCACGGGTATAGTGCCGGAAGATTGGAGAGTGGCAAACGTCATTCCCTTGTTCAAAAAAGGGAATAGGGATAACCCCGGAAATTACAGGCCAGTTAGTCTTACTTCAGTAGTGGGCAAATTATTGGAAAGGGATCTGAGAGATAGGATTTATGATCGCTTGGATAGGCACAGTTTGATTCGTGATAGTCAGCATGGATTTGTGAGGGGTAGATCATGCCTCACTAACCTTATTGAATTCTTTGAAGAGGTGACCAAACACGTGGATGAAGGTAGAGCAGTGGATGTGGTATACATGGATTTAAATAAGGCATTTGATAAGGTTCCCCATGATAGGCTCATGCAGAAAGTAAGGAGGCATGGGATAGGGGGAAATGTGGCAGATTGGATTCAGAATTGGCTGACCCTTAAAAGACAAAGGGTGGTAGTGGATGGAAAATATTCAACATGGTGCTCAGTTACGAGTGGTGTACCACAAGGATCTGTTCTGGGTCCTCTTCCTTTTATGATTTTTGTAAATGATTTGGATGTAGGTGTGGAAGGGTGGATTAGTAGGTTTGCGGACGATACGAAGGTGGGTCGAGTTGTGGATGGTGTGGAGGGCTTTTCTAGGTTACAAAGGGACATTGATAGGATGCAGAGCTGGGCTGAGAAGTGGCAGATGGAGTTTAACCCTGAAAAGTGTGAGGTGATTCATTTTGGAAGGACAAATTTGAAATCAGAATACAG